TCTGAGACTTTGTAATTTGTTACATTTTAGAATGTTGGAATATTTATATTTCCAATATTTCCGTGAGTCAATTATTTCACTTGATCAGTTTTTCCGGCTTTATTTGCGTGACTTTCATAAATCATTTCTGATTTAAATATCAGTTTCCCATGATTTATAATTTACTATTTTACAATATACAAACAACACATATATACAAATCAATGCATGAAATTTTTGGGATGCAAGCAGACTCTGACTACAATTATTTGTCAGACAAAATGGAAGAAAATTCAGAGTATGATTCTGGGGATGATTTACCAAATTTAACAATTGATAAGGCAACAAATTTTGTGAAAATATAAATATCTTAATCGCCCTAATTGCCCCAGAAAAGAATGTCTTTATGCTTTGGAAAATGTTCAACCTGAAGGATGGATTATCCAGCAAGAATATCCCCATTGCTATAGATATTTCCATAACTTATCTGAGTTTGAAAGATGGCATGAATCAATACCTGAAGATTGGCATACATTCCATGAAATTATTCAGACTGGGCAATCACAAAAAATCAAGATTGATGTGGATGGCGAATTAGAAAAATTTGCATCATATCCCAATCCTTTAGACAGAATAGAAATATCTCTTGGACAGAAATCGTTTGATGGTTTCATAGCTAATGCATATCTTCATTCATGGCAGAAGTCAACTGAGGTTACATGTAAAAAAGATGAGATTTATTTGTACATTAAAAATGCTCTCCAAATTGCTATAAAAGAAATAACTGGATTAATTCTTTCAAAAGATGATCTTCTTGTAGCCAATTCCTCAAATGAGTCTAAGTGGAGTAAACATTTGATATTACCTAGATATTTCATTTGTGGTGCATCCAAAGCTCGAAAATTTACATCATGAATCTTGGAACTTTTTCCAGAAAGAATGCATCCTTTTATTGATGAAAAAGTAAATAAAGATCTCCATTGCTTTCAACTAGCAGGAAGTCATAAAGCCAAAGACTCTTCACGCATTAAACGCATATGTTCAAATCGTACTTGGAGAGAGTTGCTTATCACTCATATTGAGAAAGATTCCATAGAACTCTGGCCATATGAATGGGAAGAAGAAGATAAAAAGCTGAAAAATGAGTCTGTCTCACGTGAGGAGAGTGATACTGCAATAAAAATAGTAGAAGAACAATTTTCTTTTCTGTCTTATCAAAATTCTAATAATGGCTTTGATACTTTTGATAGAATTCTGCCTACAACATGTTCGATCTGTGAAAAAGAGCACACAAGAGAAGGTATGTATGGTAGATGGTATGGATCATGTTATTTTCTTTATTGTTTTAGGCAAAAAAAAGGTGAATCTGGTATCAAAGTTGTTAGGGCAAACTATGATAACAGGGCCAGCAAGGTTAAGAAAAAAGTTATTCCACATTTAGATAGATTAAGATCTTGGCTTCAGCATATATCACAATCTCATTCACAAAATAACTTTACTGCTATTGGAAAAAACATCGAAATATATAATGCTAAAACAATGCATAGCTATAATTTACAAGCTAAACTTACAAGCGGTAACTGGCACTTGATGCTTATTAAGGACATTGTGGTGTTGGCAAATCAAATAAGACAGCAGAGGAAATAAAAATGCTATGTCATTCTGATGGTTCTTCCATTTCAATTCTCATTATTTCTGGCCGGCGTAGTCTAGCCCATGGTCAAAAAGTTCTTTTCAAAGGGTTTAAGTCTTATCTTGAGCTGGATATGAAAAAGCTTAATCCTAAAGATACTCCAAAACTCATTATCAGTCCCAAAAGCATTCACAAACTTGGAGCAACTGGCTATGATATAATTATACTAGACGAGTTTGAAACTATTACTCAGAATTTTAGTGGACCTACTATGAAAAAACCAAAGCTGAGCCACAATGTATATAAATCCTTGCTCCAATCTGCATTATTGATATTGGCTTTAGATGCTACATTAGATTCAGACTCACTTGTACATTTACAAAACATTTCGAAAATAGATGCTGAAAATTCAACCGTGATATGGAACCAGCATATACGAGATAAACGTCATGCTCTTATTAAGGTTTCTGGTTGAAACTGCTTCTATTAGTAGCCGAAATTGCCCAAATACTTTGGGCAAAAATTATTTTTTTAT